ATCCTAGCCAATATCATGAAACCACATCTCCACTAAAAATACAACAACAACAACAAAATTAGCTGGGCTTGGTGGCACGTGCCTGTAATCCCAGCTTCTCAGGAAGCTGAGGCAGAAGAATTACTTGAACCAGGGAGTTGGAGGCTGCAGTGAGCCAAGATCGCGCCACTGCACTCCAGCCTGGTGGCAGAGTAAGACTTAAGACTTCATCTAAAAAAAAAAAAAAAAAAAAAAAAAAAAAAAGGAAAATACTTTCAAATTCCATCCTCCACTAGAATTAAGAAATTGTATTTAGCAAAAGACACTATTAAGAGAGTCAGAAGGCAAGTTACAGAGCGGGAGAACACTATACATATACACACACACATATATACACATATGTATAGTATTCTGAATATGAGCCTGTTGTTGGGAAATATATATATACACATAGGGTATAAAATATAGATTTTTCTCCCAACATGCACATATCCAGAATTTACAAAGAACTTCTACAAATCAGTAAGAGACAACTCAATAGAAAAATGGGCAAAATATTTGAACAGGCACTTTACAAAAGAGACTATCAAATAGCAACTAAACATAAGGGCTTTCTAGAAGAGTAAAAGAATACTGATACAGAAACTATAAATAAAATACCATTCAGGGAGGAGACTGATTTGCTGGATATGCACAGGCCAATACTGAAGCTATCCTACTGTTCACTATGAAGGCCTTGAATGGCAAGCTAAAAATTTAGAAAACCAGTAATTCCACAGTTTTTCCAAGGAACATGTATCACAAGCTATTAGTTACCACACTTCAGAAAATAAACTATTCTCAGGAAACATTGGGTGTTCCAGTTACTCTCACTACCTAAAATATTACTCTAAAACTTAGTGGCTTAAGACAACCATTTACTATGCTTACGGATTCTGTGGGTCAGGAATTCAGAAAGGGCACAACAAAGATAGCCTATCTCTGATCCAAAGTCTGGGGCCTTGGTTGAGAAAACTCAGCAACTGGGTGTGACCTGATCATTGGGGGCAGGAGTCATCTGGAAGTATCTTTATTCATATGCCTGGTGACTGATGCTATTGTCACATAGGCTGTTGGCCTGGAACACCTGCAAGTGCCTTCTCCATTTGGCCTGCCAATATGGGCTGCTTTAGGCTTCTTCAGAAAATGGTGGCTGGGTTCCAAGAGCAAATGTCTCAAGAGTACCAGATTAAGTTGTATCCTTTTATGACCTACCCTCAAAAGTCACATAGCATCACTTCCATGTTAGACAGAAGCCCATCAATATTCAAAGACAGCATGTTCTTTGTACAATATGACTTTGACATTTCTACTGCGAGGGGTCAGTAGAAGAAGTGTCAAAGTCATATTGTAAAAAGAACATGTGGTATGGGAGTTACTATTGTGGCCTTCCTTGGAAAACACAATCTGCAAAGTTAAGTTAAACACAAAGGCACGTAAGCTTTACTTCTGAGGAACTTTTTCAAAGCACATCGATAAGAACTGTGAATGCTGAAGCTGGGGACATAGTATACAACAGGGGTCCACAACTCCCGGGCCATGGACTGGAACTGGTTAGGAACCGGGCCACATAGCAGGAGATAAGCGGCAAGTAAGCATTACTGCCTGAGCTCCGCCTCATGTTAGATCAATGGAGGCATTAAATTCTCACAGGAACACAAAACCTATTGTGAACTATGCATGCAAAGATCTAGGTTGTGTGCTCCTTATGAGAATCTACTGCCCAATGATCTGAGATGGAACAGTTTGATCCCAAAACCATCACCCTCACTCCCCACCATTTGTGGAAAAATCGTCTTCCACAAAAGTGGTCCCTGGTGCCAAAAAGGTATACGACCTTCTAAAATCTGATTTGACTATATTTCATTAATGGTGATCCTACTAATCTCTCTCATTAATACCTCATCTCCTTCCTCAGAACAGTTTGGGAAAATGTTGTAGGAAAGAGAATCTGGTGGATTTGAAAGGGAGAGGGACTGGATTAAACTAGTTTTTTTTTAAAAGAAGACTATGAAAGACAGAAAAAACAGAAGATTACACTAGAGTTTGGAAGCTATCAAAATAATCTTTAGATTATTTCAAAAGAATCTTCTTTAGATTATTTTGATAATAATCAGTCAAATGTAGGCAAGAGTAGGAATGAAAAAGGAGTGAATGGGAGTCTAAAGTCTTGGTAATGATATGGAGAACCAGGGACGGGAAAGGGGCAGGGATGACAGATTTTGATGCCAACGATGAGAGGAATGAAAGCGCTACTCACATACATATAGGGGAAATATAAAAGAAGGGAAATTAGTGGGAGGAAAGGAAGCTGAGATTAATTTAAAATGTAGTTTAAGTTTCAAGAAAATAAGGAACAAGGCCAGAAGACAATGTGAGCCACAGAACTAAAGCTCAAGACAGAACAAAGTAGACATACAGTTTCTCCAGCTGCTTCTTAAAGAACTTCTCTATCTTGGTTTCTATGCCACCTCCCAGTCCTCATTGAGAACCTTTTCCTCCCCTATTCCCTGTTCCCAAAGTTTCTGCCCTGGGTTCATTTCTCTATATGCTCTCCCTCGGAGATTACATCCACTTCAAGAATTAGCCATGTGGGAGAATTCTTTATATCTACTCCTTAAGTTCCTGTCAAGTTTTTCCAGCTATTGAACATTTTCATCTGGATGCCTCATTGATGCATAAAAAATGGCAAATATCAAAATCATCTTGTTTTAAAAATCAACCCTATAAACCCTACATCATGACTTCTCTGCTGCCATATATAGTACCACTATTCTCCCAGTCACCCTAATTCAAAAGCTTCTTTGGTAACCCCTGCTATATTTTGGGAGCAATATCCATAGGTAAGGAAAAAGACATCAGCAAAATAAAAAAGGAACAACTAGAACTAGGCATTAACTAAGACATGTAAAGTAATGTAAGCCAGTGAGGAGTGTCTCAAGAAAGTTGCAGGATGGTGATAAAGTTTTAAAAATAGATATTAACAAATGTCCAAGAGCGTAAGAACCAAGGCAACAGTAAGAATAACTGAGAGTGCTTTCTGTAAGCCAGGTACTGTGCTAAGCACTTCACAGATGCTATCTAAATTTAATCCTGATGACGACCCTATGAGATGGGTACTATTATTTCATCCTCCCACCCCAAGAAAATATGAGAAAATTGATTGAAAGACATTAAGCAATTTGCCTAAGTCCCACAGTTAGTAAGTTGTAAAGTGGCAGAGTCAGAATTTGAACCCATAAATGTCTGAAAGATCCAGAGCTCATGTTATTTTTAAAATTTTCTTATATGCATATATATAATTTCACTTATATGGATAAATGAGATACAATGCATGCTGTGATTTTTCTAAACAATTTTTTAACCTTTTGCATCATGCCTCCATTCTACCTCTCCTCCTTACCATCCATATCTCTCCCAAACCCATGTTACTTAGTATAGTCTTCCATATTCTTCTATAATTATACACAAATATGTTAAGCATTTATGCATTTTTTCATGAATGAGTTGCCAGTGTTTGACAAATAGTAGCATATTATATACACTTCTATGCATTTTGCTTTCATACTTAATAACATATGGATATCCTGCCAAGTCAAAGAGTTTATATAAGTAATTCATTTTTAATGGTTCCATAATGTGGATATACCACAATTTATATGACCGTCTCCCTGTTGCCAAGCACTCAATTAGTTCCCAGTTTTTTCAGAACAATGCTGCAATAAGTACCCTTAAATACCTATGTTCTTACATATATTCATATCTACCAGTGCTTTTGTTTTTATAGGCCAGATTGCCAAGTGTGAAATTACTGGTTGAATTTTAATAGATGTTGCCAGATTATTCTCAAAAAAAGAATGTAATTCTTTTAGCGATGTAGAAAGTTATCTTTCCCTCTACAACCCTATCATCACTAAGCGATACCACTGTTTGTAAGTCTTACAGTCTTTGGATGTAAAATACCTCATTCTTTAAATTGCATTTTACTGACTACAAGCATGTTTAAGCATTTTTTCATGTTTGTTAGCTTTTTAGACTATCTTTTCCACAAATTGTCTCTTCATATCATTTGCCTAGGTTCCAAGTGAGTTATTTATCATTTTCTTATCAGCCTGTAAGAAAACTTTGTATAATGCAGATGCTAATGCTTTTCTGGGCTTCCATATTTTACATATTGTTTCCCAGATGTTTAATTTTTATTAATGTCTACTTCTAAACCTTTAATCCACTATATAAGGATCCAATTTTATTTTCTTTCAGATGGAAAGCTACTTGTGCTAATACCACTGTAATACAGAAACCATCTTTTCCCCCACTAAATTAACATATATTCTTTTTCATGCATTAACTTTTCATACTTACTGAGAAAGAGCTTTTTAACCACAATGTTATACTGTCAGTGAGCCTGACAATGAGGGGGTCCATGGTTTATTTTTAATTATATCGTAGGGATAAGAATCAAACTGATAAACCTCAGCAGTCAATATAACCTAAATCTCAAGTATGGCCACTGAAAGTTACCCATTTTACTTAATTTTTGTTTTTTCTTACATTACCTCATTTGTCAACTATGTAAAATCTTCAGTATTCTTCAAGGGAAAAGAAGGAAAGGAGAAATAACTTTTTGGTTTTTTATTTATTTTTATTATTTCTTTTGAGATAGGATCTCACTTTGTCACCCAGGCTGGAATACAGGGGCACAATCTTGGCTCACTGCAGCCTCAACCTTCTCGGCTCAAGCGATCCTCCGGCCTCCACCCCACAAGTAGCTGAGACTATAGGCACACACCATCATGCCTGGCTAACTTTTTGTATTTTTGGTAGAGAAGGGGTTTCACCATGTTGCCTAGGCTGGAAGAAAGAGCTTTTTAAATCTGAAACTATATGACAACTTTAAAAGTTTTAATGAAGTAAATATAAATGTTTCATTCCATCTTCATTCCTGGTTCCTTTTCTCTAGAGTTTCAAAATTCCTACTTTACCTGTCAGCGAGACACTACAGACGATTTTCAATTTGCCAAGGCCTAAATTCTCTTCTCCATTTCCTTCCCCATTTCCCTTTTATTAGGGCCTTTAACAAGGAATTACCTGAGACAGAGAGAAAAAAATTATATACGTTCATGCTTCATCTGCTAATTACAGAGGTAATTTTGCAGAGAAGGTTTAAAATCTTGAGTAACATTAGTTCATATATACAAATAATCTAAAACTGTTATGTTTTTCCAAGAAATTCCATGTATATTGAAAGTAGCTCTCCTTGCAAGATGAAATGTTTTTAAAAGTAAGAACTAAAAATAATTATAAAATTGAAAAAATACTAATTAAAATTAAAAACTTGCTGGATGGGCTCAGTAGTAGAGTGGAATTGACAGAGAACAGGATCAGTGAACTTGAAAACAGATCAACAGAATTTACTCAGTCTGATCAGAGAAAAACAGACAAAGAAACAAGAAGGGCATCAGGGACTTGTAGGACAATAACAAATGACCTAACATTCATCCAATCAGAGTTTTAGAGGAAGAAAAGAAAGTATGGTGCTGAAAAAAATAATCAAAGATATAATAGCTGAAAACTTCTCAATTTGACAAAAGACATAAATCTACAGAGTCAAGAAGCTGAGAAAACCTTAAGTAGGAAAAAATAAAAATACAAGATACATCATAAGTCAAAGTTTAGAAAACTAAAAACAAAGAAAAAAATCTCCTGGCCGGGCACGGTGACTCAAGTCTGTAATCCCAGCACTTTGGGAGGCTGAGGCGGGTGGATCACAAGGTCAGGAGATCGAGACCATCCTGGCTAACATGGTGAAACCCTGTATCTACTAAAAAAAAAAAATACAAAAAACTAGCCAGGCGAGGTGGCAGGCGCCTGTAGTCCCAGCTACTCCAGAGGCTGAGGCAGGAGAATGGCATAAACACGGGAGGCAGAGCTTGCAGTGAGCTCAGATCCGGCCACTGCACTCCAGCCTGGGCGACAGAGCGCGACTCTGTCTCCAAAAATAAAAAATAAAAAATCTCCAAAGCAGCCAGAGAGAAATGGCACATTACCTTTAAGGGGAACAATAATTTGAATGCCATCAGATTTCTCATCAGAAATCATGGAAGACAGAAAGAAATGGCACATTTTTCAAATATTAAAGTAAAAGAACTGTCAAGGCCAAATTTCATATAGGTCAAAACCACCCTTCCGGAACAAAGAGGAACAACATTCTCAGATGATGGAAACTAATTTGTCATTAACAGACATATCTTTAGGAAGTTCTCCTAAAAGAAATTCCTCAAACAAAAAGGAAATGATGTATCAATAAGGTTTAATTTGAGTAAAGGAAGAACACTGGAATAAGTAATAGTCATGGTAAATATAAAATGAACTATTCTTCATCTCATGAGTTTCTTAAATCGTATTTGATAGTTGAAGTAAACATTATAACAACATTTGATGTGGTGTTCAAGGTGTATAGAGAAAATACAACTATTAAATTTTAAAAAGGGAAAAAGAAAAAGGACCTTAATGGAAGTAAGGTCTCTACACTTCAACTGGCAAAAGGCAATAAAAGTATCCCTTGTGATAAGTTGTTACATCTATTGTTATACCTAAAGCACAATAAAAAAGGTTAACTTAGCCAGATACTCAAAAATACTATAAACACGTCAAATAGAATTCTGAAAATATTCAAGAAACCTACAGAAACAGAAGAGGAACAAATACGAAAAACAGGAAATAAACAGAAAACAAGTAACAAAATGGCTGGCTTAAGCCCTACCGTATCAATTACCTTTAAGTGTAAATGATATAACTATACTAGCTAAAAGACAGAGTTTGGCAGAGTAGTTTCTTTTTTTAAAGGACCCAAGCATATAGTGTCTACAAGAAATTCACTAAAACATAATGACATTGGTAAGTTGAAAATAGAAGTATGGAAAAGATATGCCATGCTAACTACTCTTTTTTAAGTAGTGATGGCTACACTACCATCAGATAAAGTAGACATCAGAGCAAAGAAAATTATTGTATAAAGATACAACGATTAATTCATCAAGAAAACATCTTAAATGTATATGCACCAAACAATGGATATTTAAAATACATGAAGCCAAACCAACGGAGCTAAAAGGAAAAACGAGACATTTGTAATTATAGTTGGGATCTTCAGCAACAAAAATAACTATTAGACAATCAAGAAGACACAGAAGAACAGAACACCATGAATGAACAGGACATAACTGACACGTATCGAACACTGCAACCAACAATAGCAGAATACACATGCTTTTCAAGCATACATGGAACATCCACCAAGATACACCATACCCGCAGTCATAAAACAAACTTAAAAATTAAAAATTACACAGATTATGTTTTCTGATCATTGTGGAAAAAACTAGAAATCAACAACAGAAAAACAATGGGTAAATCACCAAAAACTTGGAAACTAAACGACACACTCCCAAATATTTTCATGGGTCAAGCAAACTTCTAAGGAAAAATTTAAAATATATAGAACTGGATGGAAATGAAAATACAAGACAGCAAAATCTGTGAGATGCAACTAAAGCAATGCCAAGAGGGAAATTATAGCAATAAATGCTTACTTTAGAAACAAAGAAAGATCTTAAACTAATAATCACAGCACTAGACAAGGAGAAGCAAAATAATCCTAAAGTGAGAAGGAAGAAAATAATAAAAGAGCAGAAATCAATGACATTAAAAATAGACAAAGATGAAATAAAGAGCTAGTTCTTTGAAAAAGGTCACTGTAATCAGCAAATCACCACTGAAAAAGATAAAACTACACAAATTACTAATACAGCAGCAATAATGAAACAAGGGTTATCACTAAAAACCATGTAGAATACTATTGCTCTACCAAAGCCTGGCAAAGGCAGTACAAAACAAACAAGCAAAAAACTACAACACATCTCTCATACCTACACCTTAACCTCTCATACCTCTGTACTTATACCTTAACAAAATATTAGCAAACAGAATATGGAAATATACAATTATATACTATAACCAAGTGAGATTTATACCAGTTATGTTCAACATTTTAAAATCAATGTAACTCACCATATCAACAAGCTAAACAAGTATTAATTCACTAAACATACACTTACCATATGATTTAGTAATTGTACTCTTGGGCATTTATCCCAGAAAGGGAAAAATGTATGTTCACTCAAAAACCTTCACACAAAAGTTCATAGAAGCTCTATTTATAATAGCATGACCCAAATGTCCTTCAATGGATGAATCATTAAACAAACTGCAGCATAGCCATCCCATGGACTACTACTCAGCAATAAAGGAATGCATGATACACACAATTTGGATGGATCTCAAAAAGTTACATATGGTATGAGTCCATCTACACAATATCCTTGAAGTAACAAAATTATAGAGATAGAGCAGTGGTTGCTACAGGTTAGGGCTAGAGCTGGGACAAGACAGTTTGACTATAAGGAGGCAGCATCAGGGGGCCTTGTGGTGATGGAATAATTCTTTATCTTGATTATGGTAGTTATAAGAAGCTACACATAGACCGGTGTACACACACAAATTAGTCCTTATAAAGTTGGTGAAATGGAAATACACTCTGTGAACTGCATCAATGCCAATTTCCCAGTTTTAACACTGTGCCACAGTTATCCAAGATGTTACCATCGAGAGAGGCAGGCTTAAGGGTACACAGGGACTTCCCCGTAAAGTTTTTTGCAACTTCCCGTGACTATGTAATTATCTCAAAACGAAAAGGTTTTTAAAAAAGTTATTAATAATTATATATGTATTTAATTGCAATTGGTATAAGTGGTATGAAAGGGGAAAATTGGGTATCTTAGCACATAGCCCTATATAAACTTGCAAACATACAGGTGAAAGTCAACATATAAACAGATGATGCATAAACAGAATTTTTTTTACAGTCTGCTGTAACTATGGGTATCCATCTCATCTTTCTCCAGAATAACATGTAATAACAAATAATTGTTTTCTATATCCTGACTTGATCACCATCTAGCCCCTTGCAATAAAACCACTGCTTTTTTTTTTTAACTTCTTTTCATTTGCAAATTATATTCTCTTCCTTTCTCATCAGACCTTAAGAAGACCTAAAAAGCAGGCAATTAATAGAACAAGAAATTAAAGGTCAAAGATGTTTACATTTTTTGTTCAAGGACATAAGCATTTAAATGGCAAAATAAATTCTACAGTCCTCTGATACCTATTCCAATATTTCCCAGTCACATATAACTTTGAAATATTGTATAACACTAAAGAATCCAAAAAACAAACTGCAAAATATTGTAGGAGAAAGTCCAAGTGGTAATGACTGTATGTTATACCAAGATTCTGTGTAGTTGTCTTTGCTCCTGCTTGATATGGTTGCGACATGAGCAATTTCACAATTCTTTTTTTAATGACTTTTACATTTCACCTACTTTTGCTATATTTGCTATCTGAATGACTGCACACTAACCCCAGTGAGAATCTTCTTAAATCTGTGCAAGTGGGCCAGAAAATCAAGCTTAAATGAAGATAAAATCCATGACTACTGCTGAGGACATATTAAATACTAAAGCACACATTACACTCAAGATGAACTTGCTGAATTATCTTTACTAGAAAAAGGCAATTTGTTTTGCACAACTCCTTTGCTATGTCTAAGGTGGCAACTATGACATCAAACTTTCTTGTAATCACACACACACGCTTTTTAAATGTGCCAGAGAGCAGCTTTCAGCTTCTGGACATCAATTAATGCCAAGAATTTCATAAGTGTACAAACTACTTACCTATATTAAATACACTCATTAGAAATAATATACTAATTTCCCTTTGGTTGAAGTATACTTAAAGTGACTTCAGAATTAAGTGCTTAATCTTAAATATATCATGGTAATACTACAAGGGAGAAAATGCTGAAAGTAGAGCAACATTTTAACAAAGAAAAAGTCCTCCAGTCTGAAGGCATTAAGTTATCAAAAAGCAAAATATTAAAATGCAAAATTTTAGATGGGCACCATTGTGTTGCCTTGATTGTGCCCTAGAATGCTACATGCTGAAAAGACGGGCCTTAGCAGCTTTCCAAGCCTTTCACCTTTAGGTGGAAAAATGGGAAAACACACAACAGAGACACTCCTATTTATAGTTTCATGAAGAAGTTTAATTAAAAAACAGCTTTTCAGAATAAACATTCTGGAGATGCTTCTAAATCTTCTGGGTTTCTTTTGGTTGTATCTCTTTCTCCAAACAGATTTGTTCTTTCAACTAAAGGACTATCAACATTTTTTTTTTTTTTTTTTTTGAGACAGAGTCTCATTCTGTCGCCTAGGCTAGAGTGCAGTGGAGCGATCTCGGCTCACTGCAAGCTCCACCTCCTGGGTTCATGCCATTCTCCTGCCTCAGCCTCCCTAGAAGCTGGGACTACAGGCGCCCGCCACCCCGCCAGGCTATTTTTATTTTTTATTTTATTTTTTATTTTTAGTAGAGATGGGGTTTCACCGTGTTAGCCAGGATGGTCTCGATCTCCTGACCTCGTGATCCGCCCGCCTTGGGGCCCCAAAGTGCTGGGATTACAGGCGTGAGAGCCACCGCGCCCGGCCAGGACTATCAACGTCTTGTGTTTGGTACACAGGACACAAAGCAGTTGTCCGGTAACTACTTGCGAGGGAAGACACGAATTAATTAATCAAGGAATAAAGTGCTCCAATCTGCATCCTGTCTTGCGTGGGGAAGAAAACCGAACTAAGACCCCAGGGTGAGAGTTTACGGTAAAGGTCTTCACCGTGAATAAAAGGCGGCGTGAGCACTAAACGCTGGGGACAAAGAACACTCATGGCCCAGAGTTTGACCCCTCCTAGCCACTTCTTCCCGGCCGGTTGCCCAACCTTTTGGCCTCTACTCCTCCACGGGGGAGCCGTAAGATTCCCTCACAGGTGGGCTGCACTTAGGGGTTCAAATGCTGCATTCCTGCGCTCGGGTGAGCGACTGCCCGGCCTGCAGCTGAAAGTACACCCAGGCCAAGTGGCTCCTAACTAGCGAGCTGTCGGAACAGTATTATTTTCGCTGCTACGGGCCATCTGGCCCAGGGCAACAGGGGCTCTGCGAGGAACCACACAGAAGAGGCGCCAGATCCCGCGTGCCTGCCCACCCGTCCTTCCTTTGGGCAGTCACCCTGAGCTAGTGAAGCTGTACCTCACCTGCCCGCCTGGAAGGCGGCCGGCTCTCCCTGAGGGTCCTGGGAAGGCGGCACAAGACCGGAAGTGCTCCCTTCAGGTGACGTCACAGTACCGCGCCGCGAGCTGATCCTGGAAGCCGATGTCAGCCGGACGCGCGGCGCACAAGCTGCCTGGGAGATTTCTGTTTGGGGCTTGCAGCCGGTGGTCCAGATTCAGAGAGACCTCTTGGAGGGTGTTGGGGTTTTCCTTTCTTTTTCGTTTGAATTTTATCCGCCTTTTATTTTCTGTCATCCTTGATATACTTATGGCTTCCCTTTCCTTCTCTCTCATTTGTTCCATGTCTGCTCCTCTTTTCTCCCTCTTCCCATTTCCCTCTTTCTGCATTACTAGTTGCATATCTTCCCCACATACACGGGAAAGTTGATTCTCATTTGATCATGTTCATAAGCATGATCAATAAAGTATTTTTTAATTAAGGTGTTGCCAACTTTAAGAAAATTCAGAAAATAATATTAAGTATAGAGTTGATTTGGGCTCAGTGCTTGAGAATGGCCACTCAGGAACTTAGATTCAAGTTGCTTTGAATATACACTCCAATTAGCAAGCAGTCAGAGTAGGTTTTTAAGGAAAGGAGAGGAGGCAGATCTTGTTTACCAAGAATTTATATTTTAAAAACTTAAGCTATTGACTGGCTATGCTTTCTTCCATGTATCACAAATTCCAGGAACATAAAGATAATGGGTGAGGCAGCTGGTAAAGAACAAAATGCCTTTAACAATTGCCCTTAGATGTGGGAAGGCGTGATGGAAGCCAGTATTCACGTCTGTCCAGGCCTAATAAATTTTGCATACCTCACATAGCTCAGACAGCTCTGAGCTATTTTTCTTAGTATGTGCATTATTTTGGACATGTACACAATAATCTACAGTACAGTGTAAGCATAACTTTTATATGCACTGGGAAACCAAAAACATTGTGTGAACTGCTTTATTGTGATGTTTGCTTTATTGTGGTAGTATGGAACTGAACCCCCAATATCTTCAAGGTATGCTTGGATTTAAAAAAGAGGTTTATTTAGGTCATGGTTCTGCACGTTGGAAAGCTCAAGGGGCATAGAGTGAGCATCTGCTTAAGTTCTGATTACAGTTTTTTGTGCAGTGTCACAACATGGTAGAAGGTCAAAGGGGAAACTGATACATGTGAAAAGGGACCAAACAGGAGGTGGAAGCTCACTGTATAACAACCCACTCTCTCAGGGACTCTCTCTTTTCCAATCTCTCAAGAGCTGTTATCAAACCAAATGGGTTCAATTGCCCTGTGCAGCAAGACCAAACACTGACATCAGGATTATAGTGAAAGAAAGTGAGGCATTTATTGTAGGGTCCCAAGCAAGGAGAATTGGTCACATAGTGCTTAAGACTTGAACTCCCCAACTGTTTGTAGGTAAGGGTTTTTAAATGCAGGGGTGTCAGAGATTATAAGCAAAGTCATAAATCAATATATGGAGGTTATATATTGGCTTAACCTAAAAATGCAGTGAGGTAGGATGCAGGACTTGGACACCAGACCAAATTGAGGACTGGCTACAACAGGGCCAGGGAGGAAGCAGCTTTCCATATTAATGCCCCTTTCCATGGCAACAACCCAGAGGTTACCACCTTTTTCTAGAAATTTCTGCATAATCCACCCCTTAATTTGCCTGTAATTAAAAGTGACTATAAATATGACACAAGAACTGCCTTTGAGATGCTACTCTGGACACACTGCCTATGGGGTGGCCCTGCTCTGCAAGGAGCAGTATCTGTGCTGCTTCTGGACACTACTACTTCAATGAAAGTAGCTATTTAACGCCACCAGCTCACCCTTGAATTTTTTCTTGGTGAAGCCAAGAACTCTACTGGGCAAATCCCCAATTTGGGGCTTGCCTGCCATGCATTGGCAGGGCATCTCAAAGAGGGGGGCCCACAGGTAATAGGTGAAATTTAAAAATTTTCTGACTTGTGATTTGTTAAGAAGGTGAAACTGTCTAAAAATTTGACATTAGCAGAAAAGGATGTTAACTTGGGCTCATGGGCATGGCCTCATTTAGGGTCATCAAGAAGAAATTTAGAACGAAGAATAGTAGTCAGAGTTTAGTCTTCGGTTCTCCCTTATTTGAGGCCTATGTGCCAGTGGGTCCATTTAGTGGGGATCTGGGTTTCTGAAAAACAACTTGGGACATACGTTAAGATGTTACCTTTAGTTTTTATAGGGAATAAAATATCCTATAACATTAATTTTTTGGCTATTGTTTTAAGCTATTATTATCTTCTTGCTTTTAAGTTTTTTGTTTGTTTTTGTTTTTGTTTTTTAGGACTAGCTAGATGTCTGGAATTTTCTTTAAGGAAGTCAAGTTTTTTTTATTTTAATCTTTTGGTGGAGGGTGCCCCACAAGACCTTAAGAGGGGTCTCTGCTCTGTGTCAGAACAAGAACTGACTTTGGCGAGAACAGCAACGATCTCTTCATGAGGGATCCACCCCATGACCCAAACACCTCCCTCTAGGCCCCACTTCTCAACATCACCACATTGGGGATCAAATTTCAGCATGAGATTTCTTGGGGACAAACTATATCCAAACCACAGCAACACATATGTGATAAGAAACAAACCTTTGTTGCTTAAGGCTCTGGAGATTGTTGCTGTTGTTTCTTAACACAGTGCAACACAGCTTGTCCAGATTGATGCAGAGGGACAGCCACTCAGAGATTCTTTTTTCTCCGTCTGTTGATTTTAATTCCTAATACCCAGGGGAGAATTTCTGATTGGCTCAGCTCAGGTCTTGTCCTAGTCCATTTTCTGTTGCTTATAGTAGAATACCAGAAACTGGCTAATTTATAAAGAAAAAAAATATTTCTTACAGTTATGGAGGCTAGGAAGTCCCAGGTCGAGGGCTATACCTGGTGAAAGCAGGTGGAGACTCTCTGAAGAGTCTTGAGGCAGCACAGGGCCTCACTTGTCCATGGGGCTGAGTGTGCTAGCTCAGGTTTCTCTTTCTCTTCTTGTAAAGCCACCAATTCCCCTCACGGGATACCCAATAATCTAATTCAGTAACCTATTGATCCATTAATCTATGAATGAATTAATCTATCCATGAGGGCAGAGCCCTCATGATTTAATCACACCATAAAGGTCCCATCTTTTAATATTCCCCACTGGGGATTAAATTTTGACATGACCTCGTAAATATATACACCTACTATGTACCCACAAAAATAAAAAACAAAACAAGTATTTAAAACAAGAAGAAATAAATTTCAACATGAATGCTATGGTTTGGATATGGTTTCTTTGGCCCCCACCAAGTCTCAGATTCAAATGTGGTCCCCAGTGTTGGAGATGAGGCCTGGTGGGTAGTGTCTGGGTTGTGGGTTGTGGATGTGGATCCCTCGTAATGGCTTGATGCCATGCTCCCAGGAGTGAATGAGTTCTTACTCTGTTAGTTCCAATGAGAGCTGGCTGTTAAAAAGAACCTGGCACCTCCTCCCTTCTCTATCTTGCTTTCTACTGCTGGTGCGGTCTCTACATACCAGTTTTCCTTCATTTTCCACCATAAGTAGAAGCAGTCTGAGGTCCTCACCAGATGTGCATGCCAGCACCATGCTTCTGGTACAGCCTACAGAGGTATGAACCAAACAAACCTATTTTCTTTATAAATTGCATAACCTCAGGTATTCCTTTATAGCAACACAAACAGACTACAATAATGAGTTTTTGGGGGGACAATTATTCAGACCCAGTACCAATTTTCTGTCTTAGCCCCTTTTCTGTTGCTTGCAATAGAATACCTAAAACTGGGAAATTTATACGTTTTATTTCATTTCATTTTCATTTTTCACTGTAACCTTGAACTCCTAGGCTCAAGCTACCTTCCTGCCCCAGCCTCCTGAAGAGCTGGGACTATAGGCATATGCCATTATACCTGGCTAATTTTTATATATTTATATCAGTCTGCAGTGGTGTATACACACACACACACACACACACACACACACGCATATATTTAGAGATGAGGTCTTGCCATGTTGCCTAGGTGTGAGTTACTGTATCTGGCCTGAAACTGGGTAATTTATTTTAAAAACAAATTTATTGGGCCAGGCATATTGGCTTACGCTTGTAATCCCAGTTCTTTGGGAGGCCAAGGTAGGTGGATTGCGAGGTCAGGAGATAGAGACAATCCTGGCTAACACAGTGAAACCCCATCTCTACTAAAAATACAAAAACAAAGTTAGCCAGGCATGGTGGGTCTCACCTGTAGTCCCAGCTACTGGGGAGGCTGAGGCAGGAGAATGGCGTGAGCCCAGGAGGTGGAGCTTGCAGTAAGCTGAGATGGTGCCACTGCACTCCAGCCTGGGTGACACAGCGAGACTCCATCTCAAAAATAAATACATAAATAAATAAATAAATATAAAAACAAATTTATTTCTTACAGTTCCAGAGGCTGAGAAGACGAAGGTCAAGGGACTGAATCTGGTGAGAGCCTTCTCGCCAGTCCCACTCCTATGATAACCCATTAATCTATTAGCCCATTAATCTTAGTCCATGAATGGATTAATCCATTCATAATGGCAGATCCCTCATGATCCAGTCACCAACATAGCAGATCTGGTGTCCAGCCAATCATCCAATAGTCAATGGCAAGTGCTTGCGGTCATATTGACTTTTTGCCGTAAGTAAGAGGATCATAGTGAATGGGGCAGACATTCCACAGAGATGTCTACTGTAATCACAAATGGCCATAAAGTCAGACCACTGTACACTGATTTAAAAACAGTAAATGAAAAGCTATCATCTCTTGGATAAAAATTTTAGACTCTCATTACTCATCCATTTTTTATTGACTATCTGTTACATTCCAAACACTCTTCCAGGCTGGGAATACAAAGGCAACTCGAAGAGAAATGTCATTGTTCTCACAGACACAATAAACAAACTAAAGAAATTAATATATAATGACAGTACAAGGGGAATTAAAAGGCAGGGTTAGAAACATAGAGCAAGGAGTGCATTAGTTACCTCTTTATCCAATTGCACCAAAATATAT